TGGTGCAGTCTGGCGTTTGAAAAAGGCTGTTTATGGTCTCAAACAAAGTGGAAGGTGTTGGAACCAGTGTTTAAATGAAGCCCTTGTAAAACTTGGTTTTAAAAGGAGTGTGGCTGATCCATGCCTGTACACCAAGGGGACAGGCAACAAATATCTAATGCTCTTAGTCTTTGTTGATGATTTGCTTGTAGCAGGGAGTTCCACAGATGAGATCCAGAAGCTCACAAGTCAACTGGAAAAGAGGTTTAAGCTTAAAGCCTTAGGGCCTGTAAGCAATTACTTGGGAGTAGAAGTAAGGCAGGAAGCTGATGGAAGCTTCCTATTGAGCCAGAAAGAGAAAATTCTTCATTTGATAGAGCAGTTTGGCATGGAAAACTGCAAGCCAGTTCAGACTCCCATGACACCAGATTTCCCAAAGACAGTGTGTGATGATGAATTTGATCAGCCTGAGTTGTATCACTCAAAAATAGGATCACTGTTGTATTTAAGCCAGTGGTCAAGGCCAGACATTGCATGTGCTACAAATGTTCTGAGCCAACGTGTATCTAAACCCAGTACTGCTGATTGGTGTGCTTTGAAAAGGCTTATCAGATATCTAAAGGGGACATTAAATGTATGTTTGAAGATATCTAGTACACAAGACGAAAAACTAGAAGTATTTGTTGATGCGGACTGGGGAAGCTGTGTAGCTACCAGAAAATCTACAAGTGGAATGGTTATGATGTTTGCCAATTCCATAATTGGATGGAGGTCAAAGAAACAAGGATTTGTTGCGACCTCATCCTGTGAGGCAGAATATGGGAGCCTATTGCTAGCATGCAACGAAATGATGTGGTTTATACAGATACTAAAAGATCTAGATTGTAAAGTAGATTTGCCTATCCAAGTGTATGAAGATAGCCAATCGTGCATTGCATTAGCGGGCTCGGAAATAATGAAATCTGCATCAAAACATATTGCTATCCGTCATGCAAATGTGAGAGATTGTGTACAGAATGGGGTAATCAAACTGGAGTACTGTCAATCACAAGATAATATTGCTGATTTGTTTACCAAGCCTTTGCCAGCAACATGCCATAATGAATTAATGACAAAACTCGGTTTATGTATATAATGTATGTATGTATGTATTGTTTCTGTTGGGGTTTTTCGCATTTAAGAAACAGAAGGGGTGTCACGGCTAAAATGGCCGCTGTTTCTTTAATGCGAATAAAGCTGGATCAGCATGACTCAGCGGCTTGCAGCAAGTTGTATATATAAGTGAGAAATGTTAGTTTGTGCTGAGGCTGGTGTTTGGGTTGGTTAGTTAGTTAGTTAGTTAGTTAGTTAGTTAGTTAGTTAGTGCTGGTGTGTATAGTTATTCAGTTGTGTTTTGCACAAAGACTTTTAGGAATAAAACTCTGCCAGGATATTCTCGTGGACTCTTTTATGCAGACAAGGGTCCGAGGACCAGGCTGAAGAGACAAAGGGAGGTCAGAACCCTTACCTTCTTTTTTTTGCTTTTTACAAACACTGACAGTTTAAACCCATTAAACTCACTTGCAAGACTATACCCACCCAGGCAGAGGTCCGCAAGCTGCTGTTGCTGCTGGTCTAAGGGAACAGTGTAGAAATTATTTGGAGGATTTCTTGCTGCTCACTCTTGCAGCACCCATACTTTTGTCCCCAAAGCTGCACTGTTGACAGTTAAACTTCATCGCAAGGAACTTAGGCTAGATTTTTAAATTTAAAAAATCTGTAACTGCTCTCACTCAGAACAGCACACACATGAAAACTAATGTGTGTATATTTGCAGTGAAATGTTGTCGTATATTTTTGGCACCGGCAAACGAGATAAATCTTATATGCATCTCATTAACTAAATGTTTTTTAATTACCTGCACAATAGTAAGTCTTTGAAAATTCAGGTATTTATTTTCAAAAGGGTGTTTCTTTTCTTATACCAGCTGTAGCTAACAGAGGAAATTATTATACAATAGCTATAGGGTGGCATTTGAGGTCATGGAAAAATGATAACACATACAGTGATACCTTGGGTTACATACGCTTCAGGTTACAGACTCCGCTAACCCAGAAATATTACCTCGGGTTAAGAACTTTGCTTCAGGATGAGAACAGAAATCATGCAGCGGCGGCACAGCTGCAGCAGGAGGCCCCATTAGCTAAAGTGGTGCTTCAGGTTAAGAACAGTTTCAGGTTAAGAACAGACCTCCAGAATGAATTAAGTTCTTAACCTGAGGTACCCACTGTATTATATAAGAGAGGTAAATGCTTTATCTGACCGGAGGTACAGGGAAGTTTGTTTGTTTTTCATAGGGTGCAAATGTAAGAAAGCAAAATATTTTTGAAAGGTGGTGATAATGATGATTAATTACATTTTCTTTTAAACCTTGAACCCAAACCGATATTACAAGTGAAATCCAATGTCCTTCTCCTCCTTGTACCCCAGCACATCCAAACCTGCTCCAGAGGCTCTAGAAATTTTGATTTCTATCCAGACTAGAGATTTAGGGGCACAACATGTTTTATAATTAATGATAACATAAGGATAATATGGCAGATGATCTAGGTGAAAAGGGACAGGCAACATCAATACTGAAATGAATTTATCCAATGTTTTTATTAGCAATTTAGACAACAGAAACAGATGCTGGTAACAAGTTAGGAGGCATCATCAATATAGTCCATGACATAAAAGCTGCTGGACCAGAGGCCAGAACTAAGCCTTGCTTGGAGTGCAGATGAAGGGGAGAAACATCTTACAAATTTGTATTGGGGCTAAATAAATTATGCTTGGGCACTAATTGGAGACTGAAATTTAAAAGTGTGCAGTGTTTGCATCATTTTTCTTGGAGACCAATATTAGGCAGGTGGTCTTTCTGTCGGAGACTAAGTAGAGAGAGGCAAACAATGAGCTCTTATTCTATCACAGCTACACATAAAAATTGGCAAAGGAAGTACATTGGTTTCAATAGCTCTACACTGAGTGTAACTTGGGCCACATCTGCGCTATATATTTAAAGCAATATTTTACCACTTTAAAGAGTCATGACTTCCCCTAAAGAATCCTGGAGCACAAAGTTTGTTATGGGTGCTGATAGTAGTTAAGAAACTCCTATTCCCCTTATAGAGCTACAGTTTTCAGAGTGGTTTAACAATCAATTCCTCTAAGCCTCTTTCCATGGAACTCTGAGAATTGACTCCTAACTACTTTCAGCACCCTGAACAAACTACAGTTCCCAGGACTCTTTGGGAGAAGCCATGATTCTTTAAAATGGCATGGTACTGCTTTAAATATATAGTGCAAATTGGGCTTAACATTGGATATCACCAGTGCTTTTTCTGGGGGTACTCAAGGGTACTGGCACCTTTATCCTCCCCCCCCATGTTAAAAGTGTGGCACTTACTGTAACAACTTCATTATGAGTACTGGCACCTGAAGCACTATTTCTGGGTTAGCGGAGTCTGTAACCTGAAGCGTATGTAAACTGAAGCGTATGTAACCTGAGGTACCACTGTAATGCAAAAATATGAGTCTGTTACAAAAGAAGGTTAGGCTTATTTAATAACAGAGGGCATAGTCCATTTCACAACCAAGCTTTTAGTGTCAGTTTTTATTGCCATAATGTTGGCACACTGAAATATTTATTTTATTTTATACCTTCCATTAACAAAAAGACAGTGAAAATAAAAAGGTCTTTGACTAGCACCAAAAAGGCAACAACACAGGTGGCATGTGAGCTGTCTGTGGAGTGTATTCTGCAACGGAGCACCACCACTGAAAAGGCTCTTTCCTTAGCAGCCATCCAGAGCCCACATCACCTCACACCATTTTGTAGCAATACTTGAAGAAGGAGCTGCTCATCTAGACCATGGGTAGGCAAACTAAGGCCCGGGGGCCAGATCCGGCCCAATCACCTTCTAAATCCAGCCCGCGGATGGTCCGGGAATCATAATAATAATATAATAATAATTTATTATTTATACCCGCCCATCTGGCTGGGTTTCCCCAGCCACTCTGGGCGGCTTCCAATAGAACACTAAAATACAATAACCTATTAAACATTAATCATCAGTGTGTTTTTACATGAGTAGAATGTGTGCCACAAGGTCTGAGGGACAGTGGACCAGCCAAACCCTACACCAGCGTTTGGTCCAGAATAGGCATGCCAGGGCATGGTTAGTCACTGCAACAACCTTTTTTTAAAAGAAGAAGAAGGAGAAGTTTATAGTTAAAGGGAGTGGCTGACAAAGCAGGTGCACGGTTACAAGTATGCATTTCATTATTTCTGCTTCTAAGAATACGTCATCTTTTTTTTCTTTTTTTTTTTACAACAAAATACAGTAGCGCTTATTTACCATCAGCGCAGCAGAAACAAATCCTGTTTTACGCCTGACACCATGATGGTCCCGTGACTGAAATTTAAAACGCAAAACTGCATATGCTTACAGTCTGGCTGGATCTAGACACATGATCCAAGAAGCGTCTCTGATTAAAGCTTTGCAAATTTAAACAGGGAAAACAGGTAGAGAAAAACGGGACTCCACGTCGCCATTTGGAGACACAATGTTATATCGCACACACCACGCATATCAATCGCCTTTTCTTTCCCAGTCTTGCAGAGTCCATCCAAGTATCTCTTTATTAAAGCGGGGGTGTAAATCAGCAGTTGTAAAACATGTAAAACATGACGGAGGAAGGAGATGAAATATGCGTGCTCCACGTGGCTGTCGAAAAGGGAGGGTGGGCATAAGATCATTAAGTCCGGGGTCTGAACTTATAGCTTCATCAACCACATGCCAACTCTCGGGGCGGTAACTGGGCAACAAAAAAAAGTGCCATTATGGCTTTTCCAAAAGGGATCCAAGAGGCAGCGCTCTCTTGTTGGGTGTGGCTCTTCAAGGCGCCTCGGGAGACACCGAAGCCGGCGCCCAGTAGCCAATGGGCTCCCCGGAGAGCGCGGGAAGCCAATCAGATCCCGGAGGGGAGCGTCGCTGCGGGAAGGCGCTGGGCAAAGCACGTTTATGATCTATCTCCTCACCTTCGAGCGAGTTTCTCGCTGACAGCGGCGCTGCGCGGACGTCGGAATTCCCACCAGGAGATCCGTGGCTGCCGTGGGGATCGCAGCGGGCAGAGAGAAGGCCGGGAGAGAATGGCTCCTCCGCTGCAGGAGACCGCGTCGGGAGTGGGGTCGGGAGCGGGAGTTGAGGAGAAAAGGGCCAACGGGGGCGGCGAGGTCCGTTCCCGCCGCTTCTTCACCTGGGAGGAGATCCAGCAGCGCTCGGGTCGGATCAAGCCCGAGCGGTGGCTGGTGATCGACAGGAAAGTCTACGACATCAGCAGCTTCCACCGGCGGCACCCGGGAGGCTCCAGGGTGATCAGCCACTATGCCGGGCAAGACGCCACGGTGAGAGTGGTGTGCGGGTTGTGCTCCTCTTCCTCCTGGGGGGGGGGGGGGGTTGCAGGTCGCGGCGGGGAATCCCTCGTAGCCCTGGATTACCAAGTGCGCAAGGCGGAGATGCGGATTACCAGTCGCTCTTTCCTGGGACCGGCAACTTTTGGGGTGGTTCTAGAACGGAGTTATCCTGGTGAATGACGGGATGCGCGTAGAGGTCGTGTGAACGTTTCAGCTTGGCAATAGTTGGCCCCCCTGCCCTGACGGTTTCTTCCTGGCGCTCTCATAGCTGGTGCTTCCCTCCTCAGGAGGGGATGGTCTCAAAACTACCTGTCAATATCCTTTTGCTGCGTCTTTGTCTTTTATTTCATACTTGCTAATTAGCTGTTACTATTAAGGCCTCAAGCGTAGCATAATGAGTTCCATATCAGATCAGTAATGTGTAGGTTTATCTCGGTCCAGCGGAAACGAGCAGGCACTGCACAGGCCTTTCTTGTGCTAGGCCTGCCTGGGAGCCCAGGGCCTTTCCAACATGCAGGCCCAGCAGCGCCCACTGCTCCCCCCCCCCCCCAGATAAGGTGCTGGCCCCATGTTCACCTTTGGTCAGTCTTCATTGAGCCACTAAGGTTGGGGGAATCCTCTTCCAGGGCCCCTGTGGGGCAGTGTGAGGGGGCACCTATCTTTGGGGTGGGGTGGGGCAGCTCATAGACCAGGGGCAGCAGCAGTGGCTGCCCAGAGGACTCCCAAGGAGAGTGGAGAGAAGGCTGAGGGAAGACTCCACAAGGGAGGGTGTTTGAAAAAGGGTGAGAGGCTGCTAGCTCTGCAGGCAAGGGGTGACATAACTGGGCTCCTGAGTCCCACGGGGTGCTGCAGAAAGAAGGTAGCTGGTCAAGGGAGCCGTGGACTCAAAAAAGTTGAAAACCTGTGCATTTTGGCATTGAGTTACCTATAAATAAATAGTTTTCTTCTCATCAAATATATGAAGATTCACTGTCAGCTTCCCTGAGTCCTACATAAAATAAGCCTAATCCATCCTTGGAAATATGCCAGCCACATTTACTCATCATGCAAATTTTTCTAGCCCACCAGTCCATGTGTGTGTCTGTGTGTGTGTGTGTGTGTGTTAGTTATATGTGATCCCAAAGATAAAAACTGACTTTTATAACAACTCTTGGGTTGTGTGGAGGTGTGTGTGTATATATATATAGTAGTTTTCATTTATATACATTTCAGTTAGTTGTTTTACAATAGTTGTAACATTTAAAACCTCGATTTCCTTCCTTCTCTTTCTGCGGTTCCTTAAATTTATTTTCATCATTTCCTGCATATTCTAAATTAACTTATTCTTTTATTCATTTATTTTAATTATATATTCTTTCGAAACTGCAGGTTATTTTAATAATCCTGCCAATGTCTTTATCTGTTTACAATTTTTTTGTAAATATTCAATAAACCATTTCTGTCCTTTTACAAAAAGTTCGTTATCTTGACTTCTTATTCTTCCGGTAAGTTCCGCTATTTCTGCATAGTCCTGCATGGAGATAATTTTAATTTACCATAGGTGATAAAGCAAATATTTAAAAGCCTGGTTTCTTGCCTATGTGCTGATTGTTGTGGAAGGAGGCATGCGGCCACACATATAAGAAATGGGTGTAGCATATATACATGTGCATACAGGAGATGTTAAATCATCACACTAGTGGTGAGAAGGATGCTAATAAATAAAGAAATGGGTTGTGAATGAATGACCATATATGTGTAGTAGAAAAGATGTGACTCTGTCTCTTAAAATATTGCATTACTTTTAAGCATTTAAGAAGTATACATGTACCCACAGAGCAGAGAGATCAATGGAATGGAAAAGACGACACATCTTAAGACCCATAGATGCAAAGTCAAGAAAAGATTAAATACTTTTGTCTAGTATAGTATATGAGACCTGTGCTTAGGCTGGAGATACGTCGTGTCTGTGATATAAAGGGGAGGGATTTAAGAGTTGTTTCATCACAGTACAAAATTCCTACATAGAATTTTACGTTGAAAAGAATGCACAAGACAGGTCCCCCTCCCCCCCCCCCATGCACAACTGTTGAGAAACTACCCTCAACTGCAGGGTGAATGAAAAGTAGTGGAGAAAAGAAACAGATTCTGGACCTGGAAGTAACACAGGCCATGTTACCTTACACACTAGCATGAAAACAACAGATATGAATGTAGATGAGGTGCACAGCCAACACTCCTTCAACCCTCAAATGAAAATGGGTGCAAATAAGCTGTGTAGCACATGCAGCAAATTCTTTGTTTTGAAGCTACTTTTCATATCTCACTTCTACCTAGATGTATGCTTGCCTTTCATTCCATCCCAATTTTATGCTTCTTTTTCTCTCCCAGGATGCATTCACGGCATTCCACCTTCATAGGGATTATGTAAGCAAGTTCTTGAATCCCTTGCTGATAGGAGAATTGGCACCAGATCAACCTAGCTCTGAGTCCAGCAAAAATGTAAGTTGGGCATGGGAAACAATTTATATGTCTATCATTTTTTTACCTTTACACTGGAAGAAAGCAGGGAAAGCAGAATTCCATTCCGCATTGCATATCACTATATGGTGCACATAATATTGCACCACTAAAGAGTGGTTTATGTTCTGTTGTCAGCAGAGGGGACGCATCTCATCTGCATTTCAAAACAGGAAAGCTAAGACTACATTGTGACTGAGAGCTCATCCACACTTCTGGTTGGTCCATGATTCCTAGGGTATGGGTCCAAGAGGTTTTTCTTTCGTCCTGCTGCTTTACTGTTGAATTGGAGCAAACATCAGTTGGGTGTTCTGTGGATTGACGTTTGTTCTGATTCAGCAGTAAACAGCGGAATTTAAGAAAAACCTCTCTGACCTGTGTCTAGAAGTCATGGACCAAACGGAAGAAGTAATGGGACAAATGGAAGTGTGAATGAGCCTTCAGACAGTATGGCAAACACCCGAAATAAATAATATTTCCTGTTTTCTCCTTTAACTAGGCTTACAATCCATTCCTATCCCTCATTATGTAATGCAGGTGTCAGGGAACCTTTGCTCTTCCAGATACAGTGGTTAAGAACTTAATTCATTCTGGTGAAACTGTTCTTAACCCAAGGCACCACTTTAGCTAATGGGGCCTCCTGCTGCTGCTGTGCCGCCATGCAATTTCTGTTCTCATCCTGAAGCAAAGTTCTTAACCCGAGTTACTATTTCTGGGTTAGCGGAGTCTGTAACCTGAAGCGTCTGTAACCCGAGGTATCACTGTATTGCAGGGCTACAACTCCCATCATCCCCAGCAAGCATGGCCAATGGTCAGGGATAATGGGAATTGCACTCCAGCAACATATGGAGGGTCGTAGATTCCCTGCTGACCCACAGAAGAAAGAAAATTAATATGTTTAGATCTCTTATTGAACAAACTCATCTGTGAACTAAAATTCACAAGAGAATCTTCCTTGTTGCACTTTACTACATAAGCTGTAAAAAAAAGGTAAAGGACCCCTGGACAGTTAAGACAACTTTCCGGGTCATGTGGCCGGCATAACTAAACTACTTCTGGCACAACAGGGCACCATGACGGAAGCCAGAGCACATGGAAACGCCATGAACTGCTAGGTTGGCAGAAGCTGGGACAGAGCAATGTGAGCTCACCTTGTTGCGCAGATTGGAACTGCTGACCTTCTGATCAGCAAGCCCACAGGAAGCCTGCACTTCCCTCAGTCGCTTTTTGCCTTCTGTTATCCAACACTTTTCAAAGTTTGTTTGCTACACTTAGGGGTATAACTAACTAACTAACACACACACACACACTGATTTGGGGCTACAATGGCCAAGCCAAAAGTTGTGGCCACCTTACAATCTGGATGCAGACAAGCAAGCATTTCCATAAATCAGCAAAGGCATTTTCCACCCCTGCACCCTCCTTTCCTTTCCAGGAGGCAAGGGAGAGGTGAGCATTCCAGCCTTGGCTGATAATGGGGGAAGGGGTTCAGTTCCACCTAGCAGCTGCTGCAGGAGTCTCCCTCTCTTCTCAACTTCTCTGTTCTGCAGGAAAGAGGCAGGGGAGCCTGTGGGCTTCAGCTCATGTTGATAGTGAACCCCTGCCACTCTGCCGAACAGTAGCTGCATCTGCCTCCTCACCTCCTTTTCCTGCGAGAAAGGGAGATTGTGGAGGGTGGTATACTTCCAGCCCCTCACCCTCAGCTTTCCTCCAAAACTTGCATCTGGTGAGGATGCGGGAATCACTGTGGATCTGCCATAATGACGCTTCCACATCTCTGCAGCTTGAATCCTGGGAAGAAGGCTCATCAGAGAGCAGTACCACGGTTCATACAGATAGCGTAATTGTCAAAGACTGGTTGGTAAATGGTGATCTAAAGAATGGGAATGAACTTCTGGAAACACTACAATTGTAACAGGGAGACTACATGGGCTCCCCGGCCATATATTTCTCCAAAGGCTTATAAGCATTCATGTTGAGAAGGCGAGAAGACTTTTAATGGCATAAACAGTGGCATAACCGAGCCTGTGCTCAGGACAGATGACAGTTTGTGGTCTCTCTTCACTGCCACAACTCAATGTGCACAGCTGGAAGCTTCTCCCTGTGCCACAGGAATCACCAGAGGATTTAGTGATGCGACTAGTACCGTGGAGAGCAAGTATGGGGGACTTGTGGTCCTCCAAATGTTTTTGGACTCTTAACTCCCATCATCCGTAGCCAGTGTGGCCCAATGGATGATGGGAGTTGGAGCCCAACAACACCCGTAAGTGGCTGGCGCTCTTTCTCCCTGTTTTCATTTGATGCATTCCAATGTTACGTGTGTGTGTGTGTGTGTGTGTGTGTCTGGGACAACTGGTTGCTATTCTTTGTTTCCCCACAGAAATTGCTAGTAGAAGATTTCCGGGAGCTGCGGTCCACTGTTGAGAAGATGGGACTTCTGAAGCCCAACACTCTTTTCTTCTTCCTGATGTTCCTTCAAATCATGGTGCTGGATGCTGCTGCCTGGTTTACCATCTGGTACTTTGGATCATCCTTAGTGCCGTTCTTTGTGGGCGTTGCACTGTTTACCACCGCTCAGGTAGAATGTCAGAGACACCATTCCATCTTCGAAACTGTTTTTTTTTACACATTATTATTTCAAAAATACCATGGGGTTCATGAAACCAGAACACAGTCCAATGCAGCTAGCTCTTCACAGCACACTTGGGTTTGGGGTTGTTTGTTTGTTACCACAAAAACCAAAGCTATTTCCTTATGCTACATTATAAAGTACTTGTGGAACTCTGGAAAGTCTCTAGAGAACTTTGCTGTTTGAAAATCCGTATTCAGACAGGGTAGTTTATCCATGCACTTATAGTTTAATAGCCTCACCAAGAATCAGACACAAAATCTGTTTTCAGTTTCATGGGTCGACCCTGGTAAATATGGGGGTGTTGTTGTTTCTGCATGGGCATAATCTTAGTAAAGAAGGAAAAGCCTTCTAGACCCTTCTAGCACCTATTACATCCCCTTATGCCAGCTTCTTTGACCTAGGGAGTCAAACTGCCCCCTCTTCCAACAAACAAAGACGCAATATACACAGACTTAGAGCCTATTGTGTAAGGCAGAGGTGAGGAATCTGTGACCCTCCAGATGTTGTTTGACTTCAGCTCCCATCAGCCCCAGGGACTTGAATCTTTCAAGAAAAATAGTCTAGGAGCCCCTAAAAGCTTTTATGGAGCTGTGGCATTGGATTGTGATTGATGGATATATTTAAATAGCATGATTGAATATACTTACACTAGTTTAGAAAGGGATCATGGGGCATGGGCTGTAATATTAGAATTAAAGAGGTCAGGAATTAATGCTGGAGCCTGTTGTGACTATTTTACTGCTTGCTGATAGGGAGAATAATATTTGTGTGTGTGTTTTGGTACTTGTATTTTTTAACTGCTATGTGAAGAACAAATATATTAATCACTTTCATTGATTCAATTTGTGTATTTAATCATTCAAAAGGGCATCCCCAATTAGTTGAGAAATTCTTTGCCTTGGTTCAGATCAGCATCATATAGACAATCTTCAGGCCTGTTAGCTCCACCCTCTGCTTTTCTGGTACAGCTGCAAGGTGGAAATAAGAAGCTTTTGTCTTTAACCTTAGTTTAGTGTTGTGTTCATGCCAGGATAAACTGTGGTTAGTCTGAACTATGGTTACCTGAAACAAGCCAGACTCCAACCATAGTTTATGAAGTTGGCTTTTTTCAAAATCATAGTTAATAACAGACACAACACTAAAGTGCCATTAATTGAAAACAGAATTAAAATTATTCAGTCTCATCTTTGTGGCCATGCCAGAGCAGGAGAGATGAGAGAGGAGCAAGCAAGCCCATGGCTTGAGAAAGTACGTAATCCTTAACGACATATTAGCATTACATCCAAACCAGGCCATAGTGTTTCCCAGCTAATTGGGGATTCCATTTGAGATAATTAAAGCCTGCAACCCTAAAAATAATTGCCTTTGGCATGGATGATTTCCTGGGACTTCGTTAAAATAAGAGTAATTGCATTGTTTTCATTCTATGTTTAGTTGTTGAAATAAATTAAAAAATTGCCCAGTAGCATCTTAGAGACCAACTAAGTTTGTTCTGGGTATAAGCTTTCGTGTGCATGCACACTTCTTTAGATATGCACACGAAAGCTTATACCCAGAACAAACTTAGTTGGTTAATTTTTTTATTTATTTTGACTGCGTCAGACCAACACGGCCACCTACCTGAATCTATGTTGTGCAATGGATCTGAGTTATGTTTTCTAAATGATCCTCTTTTTTATCTTACAGAATCAAATGTCCTGGTTGCAGCATGACTTGGGGCACCTTTCAGTCTTCAGCACATCCACATTGAACCACTGGGTTCACAAGATCTTAATGGGCACAGTGAAAGTAGGTATATTTCCCCTTCTGAGTGGAAGCTGTCCTTTCTGACAGCCAGTGAGTTTGACTTCTGCTCTGTTTTCAACCCTGTGTTCTCCTCTCCTATAGGGAATGCCAGCCCAGTGGTGGAATAACCTGCATTTCCAGCACCATGCCAAACCCAACTGTTTCCGTAAAGACCCTGATCTCAACATGCACCCCTTGGTGTTTGCTTTGGGGAAGAAGCTGGCTACAGAGGTACGTTTGCAAGGTGTATGCTACTGAAGGGTTGCTTAGGAAAGCAGCCAGAAAGAGTGGACAGCCAAGAATAAAGCTATTGGGCAGCTTACATGAGAGCCATGATTTTCAGCAGGAAAACGTCAGCATGAAAAATATTTTAAATTGTATAAAATATAAAGATTACACACACACACAATTATAAAGACAAATAATATATAAGCATGATATATAGGAGATAAAATATTGGCATGTTTTCAGACCTTATTTCCTTTACCTACACTAACAAAACTGTCTGAAGGGAAAGAAATGAAAACTGAGTAACTATACATTCATATAGAAGCAACATACCACCAACATTTTGTATAGATATAATCAGACTGAATGTCCATAAAGAAAGTATTTCTTATTTCTTATGTCTTAATTTTTCATTCTTAGCATAACTTATAATTTTACCCTTGGTTAAAAATTCTTTCAAGTTGCTCAATTACTGAGAAGTAAGTCCTCTTGAGTTCAATAAGACTTATTTCCAGGTAAACGTGTACAGGAGTAAGTCCCATTGACTTCAATGAGGCATTTTAGGTTTTAGTTTTAGTAGATATGCAGAGGATTGTGATATAAAGGGGCAACACCTGAATTTCCTAATAAGCCAAGTACCTGCTTTCCTGTTTCTATGTTCTGTGTGTCTTCCGAGCTCCTAGTTTGGATTGTTGATTCGAACGCTGCCTACATTTTTATGATATGTTGTCCATCAGGAAAGAAATATATAATGGGGTCAGGAGGGTACAACGGGCCCTAAGCAGAGAATGATCATTCGTGCTCTGAGGGTCCTGGCTGGACGAAAGACAGGCTTAAAGTGCAATAAATAAAATAGCTTTTGGGGGGCAGATCATCGCAGTTGGCCTCTCTCTCTTTTGTTTATGGTAACAAGGATGTGTAATTTCATAAGTTCATGACCCAGCCTTGGTTATGATTTTTATTTCCACACACCCCATTTTATGATGAAGCCCAGGGGGATATGGGAGTTAAGGTGCTAAGTATATTTTATTTATGTAGCAGCTGTCACCCAGAGACTGAAAGAATAGGCGATAGGTGATAAGGTGGGTGTCTATAGCCTGAGTGAGACGTTGATACCTCTTCCTTCACAGCTCGGGTTGCAGAAAAAGAAGTATATGCCTTACAACCATCAGCACAAGTACTTCTGGCGTGAGTATCTTTGTCCCTGAAAAATGTCACAAGTTTCCACTCCTTTGTCACAGAGCTCATTCCTGAAGATACTTTTCTAAGTGAAATAGTGTGAATATCTGCTGGATAGAGAGTTTTCTGTCAAGGGACTTGCGCTTGATGGAGTCCGTGATCCACCTCCCCAAGAGCCAGATCTGCCACAACTCATCAGGTCCAGCCAGGAGCAGGGCAGGGCAGGGAGCAGCTGCTACCACAAAATCCTAATGAAGGGCTCTTGGAGCTCATGAGTTTAAATTCCCTGGAGGAACCAGTCAGAGAGAAAGGGGAGAAAAGTTTCCTGAGAAGGGAAAGATTGGCCCAGAGGCCTAAGGAGCTTTCATCTCTTGGTTTCCTGAGAGGTTCTTTCCCAACTTGCATGATGTTACAGAGAGCTTTGAATAGGGGTATCCCCTGTCCCCCTATATAAGGGAACCTGGCTACTGGGGTGCCCCAAAGAGGATCTTGTGCCATTTTGGTTTTATGTAGCATTATATTTATATCCCACCTTTCCTCCAGGGAACTCAAGGTGGCCTACAGAATTCTCCTTCTCCCCATTTTATCCTCACAACCCCCCTGTGATGGAGATTAGGCTGAGAATGCCATAACCTCTAGATCTCTCACTTCCAAGCTCTGTAGCTCAGGAAAGGGAGCTATTGGGGTGTATGTTCATTCCTGTTGAACTGAGCTCTTGATGTTTGTCTCTGACGTCTCTGGGGGTGACCCAGGCTCTGAGAAAGGTGAGGTAGAGTCTATGAAAAATGAGTTGTTTCTGCTCTGTTAGACCTTTGGAATCTGGCTTTACAGGGGCCTGGGCCTGAACCCAGCACTAACCTTCAATAAACTTTGAGCTGATGTACTTTCCTTGTCTCATTGTTAGTTGGGGATGGCTTTTGAGCTTCATCTTCTCTCCCCTGCTCCCCACGGACCACAGAGCATTCAATGTGCCCCTCTCTCAGGACATTGCCATACATAGAAAGGGCACAGGTTATAGAATCCTAGCCAGCAGAGTTTGAAAACCAGAGAATATAGGATAATAGCACACTGCTTATCTGTTGGGCCATAGGGTGAAAGTGAGATATAGCAGTACGATCAGCAAAAAATTGAGAATAAAAATGTATAGCTTAAGAAGAGACATTTTAGACTATGCATTGAGTTGCTTTAACCACACTGCAGGGGAGAATTGGAACAAAGGTGGCAGAAATTTTATCTTGCTGGCCGTCAGCCTCACCCCTTGAAGCAGATAAAATGGAGTTCTCAAGTGAGGACAAATACTAGGTGGATAAGGGAAAGGCAGAAAAAAGTGAAAAAGAAGAACCCTTCTGTGAGCGAAGACAAGCAATTCTCGACTTTCTCAGGAAGATGGATGGTAGTTTGAAATTTTTATAAAGGTTGTTTTTTAAAGTCTTCCTTTTGTTTTTCAACAGTTGTAGCCCCAGCATTGCTGGTTCCCTTCTTCCAGTGGTCTGTATTCTACTTCTCATTCAAGCGCAAAGAATGGGTGGTAAGTAGTGATTGAATTTCCAAAAACAAAAAAAAATCTAGATGAGCATCTTATCTGTGTTGATTTTTTCCCCTAATTCCCACCAAGAAGCAGATTTCTTTTTAATCCGTTCCACTAAAAATGCAGTTATTGCACATTATATGCATTATTATACATATTGTTACATGCAGTGCTTTTTTCCGGGGGGACGCAGGGGTACACATACCCCTAACCATTTTGTGAATCTTTGTACTTTGGTCCATTTACTGTATTTATTTTCCCAATTTGAACTATAAAATGGTGATTTTCTTCTTCTTCAAAATGAGAGTACGCCTAAACATTTTTTTTAGGTAAAAAAGCAATGGTTGCATGCCATCCCAATCTCTGCCGAGTGGTGCATGCAAATTCAGGCGTTCCAGGCACTTACCCAGGGTTTGTGTTTCCTTTTGGTGGTGCCTTTATGGTATATAGTTGGTTTATACATATATACAACCTGAAGCCTAGATGAAGGGGCTCAGAGCACTGCCACCCCAAAAGGTCCCTGCTTCTTCCCTAGCCGTAGCCTTGCACTCAAGCAGACAGCAGCCATCATGCTTTGCCCACTCTCCAGCATACATCCCTGCTGACTCCCACGTATTGACTGGCTTCCTCTCTGAGTTCCCATTGCTTTCTGATCCTTCTTCTTAATAAGCTCTGGCCTCTACTAACACAGGGAGAGGATGCACTCCTTTGATGTGCTAAATGGCTCATAACCTCAAATGAAATTAGGTTTTACACTTGTCAATTGCCTAGCCTTAAAGCAATGACAGATATACACCTTAGGAAGTTTGCCTAGGTTAATTCACTCTTCACATATACTAATTCCAGCAGCGGTCAACACAACTTTTAAATACACACGCCACTGTGTAGCAAAAAATATAACCTTTCTTTTTCTCCTTCCTTTGACAGGATCTAGTCTTGATCATTTCATACAACATCAGAGTCTGTCTCATGTACATACCTCTTATGGGATTTAATTGTTTCATGGCATACTACTGGCTCTCCAGGTAACACGAAACCTCAGAATCCTTCTCTCTGCTGAACTCTCATCTCTTTTTTGTTGATGTTTAATCTCAAATATCTATATTTTTTTATCCAATTGTGATATACTCTGAACATATGTTACTTCCAACAGTTAGGTCCTGCTAGTCATTTTAGGTTAAACGCTTTCAGGTTGTGCAAAATGGTCTTCAGTTTGCATTGCATCAGCCCCCAGACTGCAACTCAAATCTTTCGCCCCATAAATATTGTTGTGTCCTGCACACATTAAGATGCTAGCTCAACATGGCCTTTAGTTAACATTTTAGAGACATTTATAAACTAAGACACCAGAAAGAGAAGTGTTTCTCACATTTTGTTTAGAAAGCATAGCCAGTGATGGAAAGGGGTGTGGGCAAAAAAAAAAAAGTATGTGCCCTGGGCTGCAGGTGGAGGGGCGATTGCTAAATTATGGGCAATGGGCAGCTGGCTTGCTAAATTACCGGCAACGGGGAAAATAAGCACTAGCAAACACATCTGGCACTCTGCTTCCCTGACCATGGCAAGGTGCTATGTCCCCCTCCACCACGGTCCCTCTTTGTTCCAGGGATCAAGGTGAGGAGGGGGAAGTGAGCTGTGGCACCACGGACCTGCCAGAGCTCCTAGGGTCTCAGGTCCTTGTTTCTTGTTTTCTTCTCTCCCCCGCTCCCCACACTTGATCACCGTGGCCCTGAGCAATGTGGCACAAGGAAGACCGTCAGAGATTGGCACTTCATTTCCTTCTGTGACTTGGGTGCCTGGGGATTTGGCAGAGCTGGGGAAAGCGGGAGCATCACCCGTGGCTGGCAATTGACTTGCGAGGGGATGGTTGGTAGGATGGGGGTGGAGGTAAAGAGCTAGGGGGACGGGGAGAGACAGGTAAAACCAAGTGCACCCTAGCCTGCCTGTGTTTCCATTTCTGGAAGTGCACGTCTGTGTTTGGTGTGGGTGCACGCAAACGCTGCCTCTTTGCAGCGCAAGTTGGTAGGTGCATTCAATCCAGCATCAGTGCATCTCATGTTGGCTGGGGCTGCTGTGTTTTGGGGGGCTGAGCCCTAAGCATAGTTGGTGGTGGGCCCTGCCACAGTAGAGTTGCTACTCCAAAAGCTGGGAATCATCTAAGCTAATTCTAAGCACCATGAACGGTTGTGGGAATGTAGCAGAGGAGTGGGAGAGGGACCTTACATATGCCCAGTGGGCTTGCCAAAATGCAAGTGGGGACAGGAGGTTGCTTTAGTGTTTGTTTGGGGTGGATAGGGTAAACTGCCTTCTGAAAAAATGGAAAGGAGAAATCCCTCGTTTTCAACTCCTGGGGACAGAAGGGGGAAAGGTCAGGCCTGCCTTTGTTCTCTCATTTGCTTTCTTCTGATATTAATTTCTGTGCACCACCCTGTACACTTAGCCAAGGATCTTAGCTGCTGCCAATCAGTTTAAGCAGTCCTGAAATCCGTCGCTTAAAGTTCACAATCAGGGAGGCAGGGCAGTCTTTTGCACTTGCGGATCCGGGACTGGGCATAGCTGCAGGCTAAGTAGCACAAATGATTGTGTTGCTTCATTTGTGAAATACTTTACTTAGTACTCAAGGGCCAAGTAAATAAATTGGAGATGGGGGATTGACAGCAAGTTGGCTTACCACCACATTCGACACTGTCACATGGATCTGCTTGTTTGTTTTTTAAAACCCACCCTTTACCCTAAAGTCCCAGGGTGGGCTACAACAATTTAAAATACATTTTAAAGCAGTTCAAAAACTTACAATTGAACATGTCAATTTCAAAAACTAGAGCAGATCCTGATGCTATATCCTTCCCTCTTACTGTATGTGAAGCAGCAACCATCAGTTGCTTCATAGATATTATTGGTTTTAGGCTGTATTTCTTGTTTTAATGGATGCTCTTTATGGTTTATATGGATATTTTTTAAAATATTAAACAGATGAATGAAATGCTAGCTAGATATTTGGGTTGTGGTTTGGTGGTAAGTGTCAGGCATGGCTTATATTGCATGAAAGGAGAAATACCAAAAAGTTAAGCCAGGCAAGAGGCTTGGGTTTGTCACTGGCCACACACAGACCTCTTGTCACTTTCATCTTCTCAGCAGTGTACTTTGCATTATATGGGAAAGGAAAACATGGCAGCTAAAAGAGCAGCTTTGCCCACATACTGATTTCAAAATAGTTTCTGCAGGATAAATTAGCCGGTGTGCTATTTCTTTCCTGATTAGTCAACATCAGTTCATAGTTAGTCAGCATTAGCAAATAAAATTTCCTCTATTGCTTTACATGTAAGCTGCAATGCCAAGGATATAATTTCCTATATCTTTTGTGGATCTGGTTTTTAAAAAGCCATTGTTACACTGCCTACTTTCCAGTCCTGTGTTATTTGCCTACTCAGGAAAATTTCTAAGCAGTGCACATAATAAAATAATTTTCAGTAAACCCCTCAAAGCCCTTTAAATAATTATCAATATGGACAGAGATTGTATCAATAAGACAGAGATAACAGTGTTTTATACTGCTTTTTGATCAAGCTAAAATTATGGTCCATTTATAGACAAGTCCAGCATTGCAGTGGGTTTGACTTAGACGACCCATGTGGTCCCTTCCAACTCCACAAATCTAAGTGACACAAATGTCAGAAGATCAGCAATTTCAGCTTGAATTCTTCAAGATCTTGGGTTAATTCCTTCCAAACACAGGGATTTATTTAGTTTGTCAATAAATCCCAGGACTTAGTCTCTTCTTGCCCCTATTTGGCTTAATTCTTTATACTCCCTCCCTTAAAAATCTAGTTCAGTCGAGTATCTGACCACTGCTTTCTTCAGATGAAAAAATATGGAAATAATGTGTTCAGCTTCACTACTATTCTCCCATAGCAGACCTTTTACTTCCTTGTTGTCTAATGGCCCAGCTATCTACCTCCTTGGCCAGTTTCCTGATTTTGAGGTATCTAAACAAATATTTTTGCTGGGCTTTTTTTAAAGCAGACACACTCTTTTTTTATTTATTACACTCCCCAAATTCTCTTTTCATTTCCATCCTTGTCGCTGTATGCTGATTATCCTGCAGTTTGCATTCCTGAGTCCTCCTCATCTGGGCAGAGCTTCATTGTTCTGAAGGAAGCTTCCTTGACTCTGCTCCTTAACTGGCAGCCTCCTGAATTTCATAGAATCATAGAGTTGGAAGAGAGTCACCTAGTCCAACCCCTTGCAATGCAGGAATCTCAGCTAATTTGATGGCGTCTTTCCTAAATCTGTGTATACTTCTTGGAAGCTTCCTTTAGTTTGGTTTTAAATAATCTCCCAAGGATTTTGGAACGATTTGAACAGCGTTGTCACCCCTTTCATCTAACTAATCCCCTTTCCCACTTGTGTATATGTTGACATAGCTGTCACTGTTCCCAGTCAGTTTAACTACCCTTATATCTTACACCCAAAGCATTTAGGATTACGTCTAGCATCACCTCCCATCAGCTCCTTGATCAATTGTTTTGAGGCACAATAATTTTGTATACCTGGAAATCATGTTTCTCCAGATTCGGCAGCAAGACATCAAGGAGGGTTTGGTGCCACCGCGTGGTTAAAGGCAGAAAAGGCAACCTTTAGGGAAGTAGAACTCCCATCAAGCAATTTCCTTTCCTGCCTTTGTCAAGCACACATTCCCAATTTCAGTTCCCCTCTCCTCAGGCATTTACCGTAATTTCCTTTTCTACCTATTTTTCCCGTCTTTTCCCCCCCTAGGTTATGTGAGGATTATTATGTCCTCCATTGTTGCAACACTTCCTCTCTCTCTTTTCCCTAATCAAGTATTTTAGTTCAGTTGCTTTTGGCTCTAGAGTTATTTATACAGCCTGTCAAATTTATACAGCCTGTCAAATTTATACAGCCTGTCAAATTTATACAGCCTGTCAAATTCAAAATGGGCAATTTTAGCTTTGCTTACCAAATATGAGTTGAAATAAACATACTAAATATGTTTAGGGCATTGAAAAAAAATCCCAGAACATGAAGATTTCTGGTGTGGAGGCAGCCTTGCTCTCACTTACTATGGATATTTTCTTAGGACTGCTTCGCCTATTCTAGTAATAGAGCAATAGAGGTACAGATTTAGTGCAAAGTATGCCATGAAGTGGGATGAGGGTGGCGCTGTGATCTAAACCACAGAGCCTAGGGCTTGCCGATCAGAAGGTCGGCAGTTCGAATCCCCGCGACAGGGTGAGCTCCCGTTGCTCGGTCCCAGCTCCTGCCCACCTAGCACATCAAAGTGCAAGTAGATAAATAGGTACCGCTCCGGTGGGAAGGTAAACGGCGTTTCTGTGCGCTACTCTGGTTCGCCAGAAGCAGCTTTGTCATGCTGGCCACATGACCCGGAAGCTGTCTGCGGACAAACGCAGGCTCCCTCGGCCTATAGAGTGAGATGAGCGCACAACCCCAGAGTCATCTGCGACTGGACCTAATGATCAGGGGTACCTTTACCTTTACCTTTTTATGCTATGATGTATGCAATCGGTGTGGGGCAGGGACCTTACAGTGAAGGGTGTACTCTTTGAAGTTTAAATGTGTACCTGTTTCTATTTTAATATGTAAAGTGGTCCTCAGCAAACAGCTTGAATATGGCTGTGATGGGTTTTACCAGACAAATCCCAGATCAACATACCAAGTTAAGTAACAAGATGTGTTTTTTGTGTGTGACAATGCTCTGTATGAACCAACCCGGACCCTGCAATCATCAATTGAGTCCTTTCGTTGTGTGCCCCCTCCATGAGAGGCTTGGAGGGTGGCAGCACGAGAAAGGGCCTTTTCTGTTGTGGCTCGCCACTTGTGGAATGCTGTTCCCAGGAAGGCTCGTCTGGTACATTCATTAGATATCTTTAGACTCCAGGCAAAAACATTCTTCTTCTCCCATGCCTTTGGCTGACTGAACAATCAATGTCCTTTTAAACTGGAGGGGGTGGGATATTGTTTTGTTTGTTACTATGTTATGCATCTTTGTGTTTTTTTATTGTAAACCACTCTGTGGTCCTTGGATGGATTGTGCTATAGAAATTCAATAATAATAATAATAATAAATGCATTTGACTTGGCAGGTATCTAGAGTCCACTTGGTTTACTTGGGTTTCACAAATGAATCATATCCCAATGAACATTGATTATGATAGAAATATGGACTGGGTGTCTACCCAGGTAAGACAATTTCTTATTGTTCAAATAATTAGTTTCTGGTGTTTTATTGTGCGTGTGTTACGCAAAACATTATTGGCACAAAACTGGTGCATTATTAGTGGCTTTGGCTTGTTCCGCAGTGTTTCCTCAATGCTACCACATTATTTCTGTCTAGAGGGGCAACTGATCAACAAAAGTGGGACAAAATAAAGCAGAGCATTTGTGGCTCAAAAAGTTACTGGAACTATGGTATATGCACTGACTGGAAATGAAGCAATGTGACCACCCCAAAACATTTGGAAGCGACCCAAACGATGTTGAAAATGAGATCACGTCTGACCACCCCAATAACATCATGAACAAAAATAATCATGAATGCGCAGTGGAAAGGGTGTCTGAAGGGGCTCTGAGAGTCATCACAGACACTTTTAGACTAGTGATGGTGCAAAAGACAAAAATATGGAGGGGTGGGTGGGTACTGGAATACAATATAGCTCCAGTTTGGCAAGTCAAGCTGAATACCACCCCCACTCATGCTTCGGCTGTGCTTCTGACCGCACAGAAGTTTTTAATGTAGAGTCAGACAGGGATTCATTCATGCATTTGTTAAAACATCCTACCTTTTGTATTTACATCCTACCTTTCCATTATATATAGAAATGTCCAAGGCAGTCTAATCAAAAGTTTGAAAGCAATCAGCTTTTTTTTTTATTTTTAAAAAGCAACCTTCTCCATGTTCCCCCACCGAAGGAAGTACAGCAGACACCTGCTAGGGACATGGAGCCTTCAGTGGTGGAGCCCCCAGGGAGGCTTGTCTTGTGCCTACAACTATGGTCTTTTTAGCTGCATCCTGAATATCTTCTCGTTCTCCCAAACCTCTTAAATTACAATTTTAGAATTTGCACAAAGTTCCCCCTTGCGGACTTAAATTTAGTTGGCTGCTGTGTTTTTATACTGATTTTTGTTTGGCCTTTTTTTTGCTGGGATTTTTGTTTTTGTGATTTGTTTTTTATCTTGTTTTAGTGTTTCTAGTGAGATTCTGTATTGTGTTGTATGTGTAAAGAATTTGGGAAACTTGGTTGAGTAGCATATAAGTAAAATGAAAAGAGCACAGAAACAGAAAGAACTGATTGCAAATCCAGAGGAGCCAGGGAAAGTCGGGTCTAAGGCCAAAACCAGAAAGATATCCAGGTGGCATTGAAAAATCCTCAGCCTCTTGCCAGTTTTCCCTGCTGCGAGTTTTCCTCCCCTGTCCCACAAAGAGGTAGCCAGCATGGTCTTCTCCAGCTGACAGTTCCCATCATCCCTGATCATTTATCATGCTGGCTAGGACTGATGGAAGCTGGGAATCAAATAACACCAGAGATATCTTAGTGTATGTAGAAAAGTGAGGTGGGGGGGATTTTTGGCAGGGGACTGGTGTTGCTGGGCAAACTCCTCCAGACAGTCTTTCAGAGTTTAGGAGTACTTTAAAATGTAAATCTCAAGCTTTTCTGAGAGGTCTTCTTTTTTAAAACAACAACTACTACAAAAGCTGAGCCAATTGCAAATTGGGATGGAGGACATTTTGCCCATTTTTATTTCTGTGGGAAAGGAATGCTAAGGCAACTCCCAATTTATGTGGGGGATGTGTTCCGTGTCGTGGCATGCAATGGCGGAGGGTGCATAAGGCTGCTCCACTCTGCTCTGCCCTGTCCCATCCTGTTCTGTCCCTGTTCTTGTCCTGGCCACAGTGCACAGCCGTGTGTCAGTTAGACACACATAAATCAGTCGTTACCTGCAAAGCATCTTTTGGAAAGGTGGGATACCTGCCTTTCTGACCATTTCCCTTGAGAAACTGGCTGGAATGCTACTCCTGTGGGATCCAGTTGCTGCTACTTAGAGGAACATAAAAGATAACTGTGCCTCATTCAGTTGCAGTCTCTTTGTGTGAAACAAAGAGTTCCATTGTTCCACATCCTTTCTTATATTTCCCCCTGCAGCTCCAGGCAACGTGCAATGTGGATCAGTCCCCGTTCAATGACTGGTTCACTGGCCACCTGAATTTCCAGATTGAGCACCAGTAAGTAGGACAGTGGGAGCCACAAAATCCTTTGTGCATCTCCCTAGTGTGTGGTTTTATGAAATCATTGCGAGTGGGATGGGCATTCTAAATAAGAAAGAGGAGCTGATTTGACAGAACACCCTTTCTTCCCTCTGCAGTCTTTTCCCCACGATGCCTCGCCACAACTACTGGAAGGTGGCCCCCCTGGTGAAGTCTCTGTGTGCCAAGCATGGCATTGACTACCACAGCAAGTCCCTGCTCCAGGCCTTTGCAGACATTTTGCAGTAAGTATGGCAAGGGTGCTTTATGAACTGCAGTGTGGCAAGAAAAGCAATAAGGAAGTGGAAGAAAAGGGCAAAAAGTACTGGAGCCCTAGTCAGCCATTAACATTTACTAGAGCTTGTCCTATTAGTGTAGTTAAGGGCCGAGGGGAGAGCAACACTGGCTCCACCCTCTGTCTAGTGGCACTTCCAGGTGACCTGTTTAAGCATTTATTCCCATTTGTTTGAAGGGATGTTGGATGATGTTGCATCAAAGCAGGTGCTATCCCACATCTTCCAGTGCATTTCCCAATGGCTTTTCTTATCACTGAGAAGTGTTAAGAAAACACTGCCGTCTAGTGTCCAAAGGCAGGAAACTCATGAGACCAGCTGCTTCCACAAGTTGATATTCCTGTCTTTGGGCGCTAGATGGCAATGTCTCCCATCTCCCGTTTGCTCCATGGAGAACAGGATGCTGGATAAGATGGGCCATTGGCCTGATGTAGCAAGCTATTCTTATGTTCTTAACCTGAATTTGCTGGTGTGTGGTTGAATCCTACCCAAAAATAACAACCTGGCATCTAAGGAACAGTCAAATATCTGTTCTGTCCCTTCCTCCCCACCCCACCCCACCCCACCGCACTCCCCAAATCATGAACATCAAAAGAGGCTTTTTCAAACCCTTTCCTTATTAAGCTCCTCCAGGCACTCCTGTTTGCCTATGTTTTGCTTTATGCATGACATTGAACAGCTGAAGTGGAAAAAGGGAAAACTCAAGATACATCCAGTTATATAATAATAATAATAATAATAATAATAATAATTTATACCCCGCCCATCTGGCTGTGTTTCCCCAGCTACTTTGGGCAGCTTCCAACAAAACATTAAAATACAATAGTCTGTCAAACATTAAAAGCTTCTCTAAACAGGGCTGCCTTCGGTTGGTCTCCTTTAGCCTCACTAGGGATGGAGGGTGGGGAACAGTTTCGGTTTGCACTTACAGGTGAAGCTTCCGATTCACACTGTCTGAAAGAGTATGAGAACTGAAACATAGCCACCCAATTTGCACTTTTCCAAATTTTGCAATGTAGCTGTTATGCCAAATACAAAATCCCATATACTGTAAAGTGTGCAATAAATGTATATGTTGGTGATTAAAAATGGGGGGAAATGCATTATAGTAAGGAAAATTGCATGCAAAGATGTTTATATTAGGCAGATTTCTGTATTAGGGAAAAATGAACATGATACAAGCTATACAGGGGAACTGAAATGCATAAAATACCAGTCATATCTAAAGCCAAAGTTGTAAATTCACCTTTTTTCAGGTGATTGTTCCTAGGAAGCGTATATATTTATGCACATCAGGCATGCTAAAATTTGTATGTTAACAGTTTTCAGTACCTTCTTTTTTATTCAAAGTAAAGCTAAGGGAAATCTCGCCCTGCTGGTGCAATTATTTAGTTGAACACAGCCCCATATAACAGAAATATATGCTATTAAGTGGTCATGTTTTAAATATCTGCACATGTTCAGAAAAAGAAATCCAGTTTGAAATTGTTGAAATACAATGTTCAAACTATATTTCCTGTGGGAATATATCATTTTGAACTCTTTCAAACGCTTAGTTTTACAGCATGGTAAAGCTAATGTGGCATACTTTTGAAGTTTAATTTTCTATATGCTAGTCAAATAAACATGGTAAATCAGAAGTGCATTGATTTAGGGCAGTGGGAACTGTTTCAGATTGATCAACATCACTGGATATGGAATTGCTGCCTGTGCATTGATCAAAGAAGTATATAGTAGTGAGATGTAGTGGCGGGGGGGAAACCCACCTTTCACTTGCCGCATTGTCCTCTCTTCTTGTTTAATCAAAGCCCCCACTCCCTGTCTTGCAGCTCTCTAAAGGATTCAGGAGATGCCTGGCGTGAAGCATATCTGTATGGATAAGAAGCAGCAGAGACTCAAGAAGGAGGACCATGAAGATGCATCACAGACTAGAGGGCAGCTAATGTGCTATGAAGAATTTGGGGTCTGGTGGGTGAGCTAGACAAATAATTATTTTTGGCATGGGGTTGGGGGACTCCTGAAACTTTCCTACATCTATGCACAGTTGGGGTTTTTTGTGTGTGTGCACATGTTGTTCTGGTTGCACTGTGGCTTTTCGGGTGACAGGGTCATGGAAAGGGAAGGTCTGTGCTTCATGCAGAAGTACATCTTGCTTTTTGTTGCGTGTATGAGTTCGAAACCTGACTGTCGTCTTCCGTATGGTTGGTGAGGGATGCTTTCAGAAGAGGTGTGTTTAAAGCAAAAAGGCAGAGCTGCAGTGGGGAACTACAATGCAGATGTAATATTACTTGTGAAAGCCGCATGTTAGGGCTTATCTACACTTACTTTTCCTGTGGTCTTTTCATGCACGGTCCACACTTTAAAGCTCTGTGTTCGAATTCCCTTTCCCTTTGGAGCTTTCCCCACAAAAAACTGCTCTTTAAAGCGTAGTTGGAGCAAATGGCAATCCGCTGGAAATCTGAATCGCTGTTTATGCTGATTGAGTGTTAAAGAATGGATTTTCAAGGAAAACTCTGGGGCAAAAAAAGAAAACAGCAATGTTCAGACATGGAGCTTTTATAAGTGTTCACCTGTGCCTGGAAAGAGCAGGGCAAGAGGTAAGTGTGGATAAGACCTTAGTTGAAGGTCAATTTTAAATCTTAGCTTCAGCTGCAAGCTCAGGGATACAATTTCAGGTTTGCCTAGAGGTAAGGGACCAGATAACATAACTGAGTTTAAAGCTGAGTGTGTTCATGTTTATTCCTGTTTCAAAACGTGTTGTATTAAGAGCCGTTGGTTGCAGATGTTTTTCTTCAAAGCCTCATAATAACCAGAGAAATAGGTGCTCCTGGAGGATAATCACATGTGATCTGAACTCTCCTCATGTACCCCTCCTCCCAAACAGCACCTGTTGTGCAAAATGACCTTTCCATGCTGAGGTTAGGAAACGTTTTCTCAGCAACTTGTATTCATCTATCTAATGTTATCACTGCCCCAACATCTTCCCAAAGGTGGTTGCCTTCGCATGGTGGCAGACCAAAGAAGTGCCTCTTCCCCTCCACTATGCGCTTCAAAGAACGCTTGAGCCTGGCCTCCAAACCAATGCCTGATCACATGACTAGCGCTCCTCTTTTGAAGGAGAGGAATTGTGTGGTTGCAATCTCAATGTAATCCGGTATTGGCATGAATGCCTCTGGTCATGGTTCTTTGAAACCACACTCTCTTACTCCATTACTACACAAAGGCCGCTGCCACTGGGAATGTGTTACCTGGGGCAATGCCTCTTGCCTGGTGATTATCTGGCAGTGTGATTGAAAGTATTAATAAGTTCAGTATTTGTTGTCTTGACCCACAATTGGAAGCATCAACCTTCTGTTGGTCCTTTAGCACAGCCCTCTTAGGATGTACACCACTTCATGTGTACATATTTGTATTTATTTGTATCTTTTAATATATTTCATAAATTTATTTGGGTCAATACGTGTGGCTGTCTTTTTTCTCCCTCTTCTTCTCATTGGTTCAAATAGACAAGAAGAGCTGACTCTAAACACATTGTATGTGGATTTGTGCATTTCTCCATGGCTGCATCAGGTTAAATTGGCATGTGGTCTGAATTAACCTCTATCATAGTGATGGGGAACCCATTCAGTGAAAATGAAGGGTAGGAAATCTGCCACTCTCCAGATGTTGCTGGACTACAACTCCCATCATCCCTGACCATTGGCTATGCTGGCAGGGGTTAATGGGAGCTGGAGTTCAACAATATCTGGAGAGTACACAGTTCCCATCTCTGCTCCAGCAGGTGGCATTGCAAGTCTCTATCAGTCCAGCATATGTAAGGTTCCACATACTATAACTGGAGATGCCAGGAACTGAATCATAGATAATGGGGATAGAAATGTAGATTTAGTTATTTGGGGAATGAGCAGGCCCATCAGATTGCAGTTTATTTGGTGTTTTTTTTTAATAAAAGGAGCAGTTCCATGTCTTTAGAGTAAAGGTAGTTCTTTTAGTTATGGATGCTGCCCTGCTGTTTAACATTACCTTATGGAATTGTACAGCACCAAGTGACTCATTATTCAAATGCATCTGTCTAAACATTCCACCAGAGGGAGTTCTTTCCTCTTGCATTCCAGTACACACACACACACACACACACACACACACACACACACACACATCCTCGAAAGGTTGTATCCACCTTCCTTGCTCAGTGACTCAAATAAGTATGGGAAGTACAGCCTTGACCACACTTTTTTGTGCCGGGCCTGAGCTTGGTGCCCCTTCAGAATTTTCAGACTGCAGTGCTCTGTGAGTAAAACCACAAAAAGCAGAATTCCCCCATCTATATAGTTCTTAAAGAGAGAGGAGATGGACAGGACTTTCTTGCTTTTGGTCCTTGGACCTGTGTAACTACCCAGCCAAACTGACAAACTCACACTTAGAATCAAAGAGGCATAGAATTGTAGAGTTGGAAAGGACCCTGAGGGTCATATATTCCAGCCCCCTGCAATGCAGGAATCCCAACTAAAGCATCCATGACAGATGGCCATCTGTCCAAGGGAGTCGGTTTCACTGTTGAGCAGCTCTTTAACATCAAAATGTTCTTCCTGAAGTTTCGTTAGTTGGTAGCAACCCTTTCCCTGAGTTTCCAGGCTGGAGGCATCAACCTCAAGATGGTGTTGAACTCCAGCTTCCCTCAGCCAGCAAAGCCAACGGAGAAGGATGGTGGGAGCTGGAGTCCAGCACAGAGATGCTACAAGTTATATTTTTGGCATTTCTCACACCTCTCTTTAAATTCTTTATTGATGGTTTCACCGTTTCTTTTTCCTAAAACGCAACACACACCCCGCACCAAATCCCCTTCTTCCAGCCAAAATACATTTTGGAGACCAACATAGTATGTTCCAGAGGAGGCATATGGTTGGCTGGAGTCCCTAAGTTAGTGGAACTCAAGTCCCATCGATTTCAATGGGAACAATGCCATTATTGTTTTGTCTCCTTTATTTCAACAAGAAACAAGTTAGCCTGCATCCAACCCATTATCTGAAACATACTATACCCTGTGGAACATCAGTCTGTAACTCACTTACCCATATTCCCCTTAAACCAAAACTCAGAAAAATGAAAAAAAAAAAAAAAGCAGATGGAAGCAGGGAATGAAAGGAAGAAAACACTGCAAGGGACTAACACTGCTTATACACCATACATTTAAAGCATACATACTCAACTTTTCTCATACCAGCTGGTTGTTTTATAATTTATTTTATCTTTATTTTCAGCATTTTTATACTGCCTGTTGCCCATAAGTGCTGTGCATGGTGTGCACTTAATTTTTAAAACAACAATAACACAGACATAAAATATAAAAGTATGGCATGAACATAAAATCAAGCGCCAATTAAAACATCAGAATAAAACCTGTAGTGTCCAAGGTCTAAACACAAACTTATTTTCTAACTGAAAAGCATGTTAATCCACAGCCTATTTGCTAAGGGGAAGCTCAATAACCCCATAGCACCACCTTCTGCAATCAACCATCAGAGTCGGAGGGGAACCACTCCAACATGGTACCTCCCAGTATCCAAGCAGGCAGCCTACCCTGAAGGATGCCATCATCTGTGATATTGAGAGCTTCAAGTGAATCAACAGGGCTGCACTTTCCTCTCCCTCACTTGGCAGAGGTCATCTCACAGACTGGCCAAGGCAGCTTCCACTCCGAAACCAGGGCTGAATTAGAAAAGCAGTGGGGAAACCAGGGCCCACAGGCCTCATTAGGCCCACCTGGCCTCCCCATTTGGCCTGCAAGTCATGTCCATCTGCCCTGCACGTGACCATCACCCATAGCCTCAGGGGCAGGTGATGGTGCAGCTGGGCCAAAGCGGGATTTGCAGGCAATGCCACCTGGATCCAGTTGCTCACCGTGCTCTAGAAAATCATTTCGTTCAAGAGTGTATCGTTTACTGGCAATCATTTCCTCAGGCACATTTCTCAGGAACTGGGTGTTGGCCAACTAGCTTTCAGTCACCTGCATCTTCTGAGTTCATTTCTACAGAAACTGTCTGGATTGCAACCACCTTGAAGGAGGCTGGCACCATTTCTTTCCTCGACAGTTTGTGAATAATTTGATCTGAAGAGATTTATTGCTGCAGTAGCTGGAATTTTTGTGATACCACAGCTTCTGTCAATGCAGAGGCATCGCTGTCAATGCTTTTAACTTGTTTCAGCAAGTTGCAATAAAGAGAATAGACACCAGTGTAATTCTGCAGCAAAGTTAGCCATCGGCATGTATGGTTTCGTTTAATTTACAATTCTCGGTAGTTGAACAATATACACAATGCCACTTTCTCACTTGTGGCACATAGATGTGATGACAACATCAAAAAAGACAGATCTAATTATCTCAGTATCTATCTATTTTAATTTCACAAGTTCTTCCTGGAAAGCAATTTACATGAATTATAAAGCATGACATGTGAATTACAATTACATTTGTGTCTCCAGGAAAAAACTGATTTTTTTCCCACCACAGCTACCATTTTGGGAGGTACTGCAAATAGGAGTGTGTAAGAATTATTTTCGCTTATTTAAAAAGTTTGTTTACTCATATGTTGTAAATTTGGACCTATTTGCTTAGTTGCTAATGTGGATCTTGTTCATTTCTGTAACTACCGTTCATTTTCATTTCCCACTGGCTTTCCTGGGAAACCCAGAGAGTCTTCTGCTGACTACAACTGCTGTTTTTCCATCCAGCCACCAAATTTTCGGGCATTCCATCCTTCAAGTTATTAGGCATGTCAAATTTCAGACAGGGGAGAGAACCTCCAATTCTGAGGCAATTAAAAAAGAGGTACACTTCCTGTGGTCTTTCTGCTCATTTCAGCGGGAGATCCAGCTGCTTCTCTCCAGCTCATAGCTTCTGTGTTTCTCCAATGAATCAGTATCAAATTTTAGATAGATAGGATAAAGAGGGCATGTGTGCCTCTCAATGCAAAGTAGGTTGTAGGTCAGCACTGGCCTACATTTTCAGACTGGGAATCATTTGCACATGAAGCAAAAGAAAAGTCTGTTCGATCAATGGTCCAGGTAGTTCAGCATCCTGTTCTTATTGTGGCCAAACAGATGCCTCTGCAACAGCACTCTGCTCACCTGCGATTCCAGCAACTCGTATTTTGAAGCATACTGCTTCTTCTTGCTTGCTTGCTTGCTTGATTTTTAATAACATTTATTTATTTATGGATCATAGGAATTATAAATGATATAAATAAATAGACCAAGTCGTCTCCTGCCATTTGTGTACCACAAAAATAGCATCCTAAATTTGCAGTAATATCTACAACATATGGTTCATTATTTGTGGTCAGTATTTTAAGTTCTTGGTTCATGAATTGGTTTTAACAAAAACAAAGGGGAAACAGGATAGAACAGAGTTAATAGATAACATTCAACATCACGTAGCTAAATGCCTAATCAGGAGCCCTTGTGGTTGTGCTTAGATTAAGTATGAGTAATAATCATTTTTCCTCTTAGGTTACCAATGAAACAATATAAAGTGTTGGTATATTTATAAATGTGGGAAGGGGGCTTCAAAGGGAATATAATAAGTTATGTTTAAATTTAAATTTAGATCAGCCAGACTGAGCCAAAGACTGATGAGGGTGGTTGTTCATTTTCTGGAATATTGGCATATGTTATTAAATTAAACCACACTGGGATAATAAGTAATTACAGTGGTGCCTCGCAAGATGAAATTAATTCGTTCCGCGAGTTTTGTCGTCTTGCGATTTTTTTCGTCTTGCGAAGCACGGTGTCGGGAAAGTTTTGGAAAAGCTTCAAAAATCACCAAAGTCTTTAAAAACCTCAAGAAGAGCTGTTTCCCAAACGGTTATGTAACAGTTGTCTAGCGTGTCAGAAAAGTCTTTCCAGCGTCTGGTTGTGTTGTGCAGCTTGTAATAAATGGCTTTTATTATGCAAAGCCAGGTTGGTATCTTGAAATATATTTAATAAAGTGAATTTTGGCTTGACTTCCAATTGTTGTTTTGTCATTTTATTAACTTCTTGAAACATCTAATTCCAGAATTCCCACCACATGTGGAAATATGTACCAAGTCTGGGGCAGCACCTCCAGCAGCGTGGGAGGCACCAGGATGGATGATTGCCAGCTTCCTAGGGGTTAGGTACCACCTATATATGAGTTTTAGTGTTAATTCTCTATAGTTTGCCAAATAGACTTAAGGGGTTTTGCTGTTGTTGTCCAAAGTCTATTCCGTTAACCTGGGTCAAGTTCATAGCCAAAACTGCATTCCCATTACTGTTTAATAGGGTTAGGTGAACCCACCGATGCACTGAGTAGAATTGCAGGCGTTATATCTGGGCCTTGTCCTTCTGTGGATATTACAAGTCTTTCAAATGAGGCAAGTGATCTTGTGGCTATCTTACTGGTGATTGGGTTAGCTAAAAAAAAAGTGTGGATTTGATGG